CATAGATATGCATGTTGTATATCATTAGTAATATTAATATCAACGAAAGTATACACCCTTGTACGATGGTGGCTTAAAATTAAACAAACAAGAAATTGCTATGCAACGGTGATGTTTTTGATACGGTGTAATGTTTTTTAACATTACTTTGCAGTGTTTTGGTGACTGTAACTGGTGACATTTTGATAACGTTTGGTAAAAAATCCAATATACAAGAGTGTCCCTTCCTGTGCCCAATAGCTTATGTAGTTGTTAAAACATATTGATAAAAACTACACTTAATGGTGACTGCAGGCTCGGATTTATATAAGCTTTGTGATAAAGATATATGATTTTCTTCCCTGAAAGAAGGGGCCGAATTGTTGTGTTTCACAACCCATTAACTTATGATATGTTGATCTAAAAGTTCGTGCATTTACAAACGTACAAGATAGGAAAACAATTCACTGGATATCTTGAGAGTGTTGAATTTAGAAGTTCAACTATTGATAGACACAGAGATGAGCGAAATCCGTTAGAGGCACTCATTGTGAGGAAATATCATTAGTGAGTGAGTGAGTTTCAGAATTGTACATAGCATCAGCTATATCTAAAATACAAAGAAGAGAACGAATTATTCATTTAAAAAAACAAACATTCACAGCTAAAAAGCAAAGTACATTAACAATACAAAAGAAGATGGATTTTAAGAAAGAACGAAAACACAACTCAGAACGTAATTTCAAGACAACGTCGCAATTTATGATACAGATAAATTTTCTCATGAATATATTTTTAAGCCAGAAGCCCGCTTCCACTGGTAAACATGTCTTTCCGATTTACTGCTTTCTATGTGCTTGACAGTGAACATATTTCCCATGACCAGTATTTGGACTTATTCCACGTCAGCACAATTGTGAATATGTCAAGGAATATATTTGAAGCTTTCAATATTTGCATGAGCACCTTTGGCCTTGTTAGTTTTCGTGTGTTTTCTTGTTTAAGCTGTTTACAGAAGCTACTCTGTAAATAAAATCTGTGAAATTTGATACACAGAACATTTGTGTGTCATACTTCCTAATTTGTTTCTTTTCAATGCTCTGATAATAATTATCATCATTTTTTTATTATCATCTTCAGAAACGAGACTTTATCCTTATTCTGTTGTCACTGGCAACGGTGACGTCACAACTGATCGACAGCTGTCCACCAGGATGCGAGTGCACGAAAAAGAACCATTTCACGTGCAGGGAACTGACGTCATTCCCAACATCCCTCTCGTCGGATGCGGAAATGGTATCAATCTACTTGTCTACACTTCCGGTCATACCAAGAAACGCCTTCCAAGGTCTTCCAAATATGAAAATCTTGGATATATATTCCGTTTCCATTGGAACCATAGACACATGTGCATTTCAACACTTGACCAACATGACCAGAATCTCAATATACAACGGAAAGATTCGAACCATCAAAAAGGGCGCTTTCATGGGTCTGTCGTACGATGGATATTTTTCCTTATACATGTCAGAGGTGGGCACCATCGAGTCTTATGCTTTCAGTGACATTTCCAAGACGAAATCCTTCACCATTTTCAATTCAAATGTAACCACGATTGAGTCGAAGGCGTTTTTCAAATTTTCGGATTTAACAAAGTTTTCAATCTATTCGTCTAACATAACCCACATTCAAAGCGGAGCCTTTGAAGACTTTACCCGGGTTGAAAGCGCTCATTTTCACGAGAACACCATTGAGAAACTGGAATGCAATACTGTAGATCTTCTGACCAAAGAATTGGAACAAAATTTTTCGTTTGACAAAATAACTTTGAACTGTGACTGTTCTCTGACGTGGCTTTTAAGAGCTGCGAGCCTATATCCGGGTCTTTCTCTTCAAACGTCAGTCTGTAAACTTCCCATGAGCCTTGCTGGTAAGACCGTTGGGACACTAGCTGAAACCCAAATCTGTCCCAGAGGGGGGACGTTTGGGACGAGTTGTCCCCCTACACGTCAACTACAGCTGCCAACGTGCACTACGACACCGCCGATTAACGCTGGACCATTAAGTATGTTAAATATGAAGCTGTTACTGTTTCTCATAGCATTGTGTCAAGCAAAGTGACATGGATAAACAAGGAGTCACCAAGAGAAACAAACATATGTTCAGACCATAGCAAACTGATTTGTTTATCTGAGTCGTTCCCTCCGCCCTTTTTAAAAATACATGTAGCTATTCAAATAACATCGCCCCATCCACACCCCTTTCCCCATTGAGTAATACGTCGGACCCCGGTATCTAGCAGGACTGTGTTGTAACTTCGAGATATCCAGATATTCGAGATAGCGAGGCTTGGACAACCATACATTTCAAGTAATATCAAACTTCCTATGCATAGAGGAATGTACGTTTTATCTCGAATTCGAGATGAGCAGTCCATTTTGTATGAATTTATATAGTGATACGGAAAATAGGTTCGCGATGTAGGTACATTCGAGACACATCTCGAGATAACGGGGTCTGTATACTGACAATTTACAGATTCAGGTTTGGTCTCGACCATTTGATGTTCGTGCATTACCCCCCTTAATATGGAATCTAACAGATACCAGAGCTAAAAGTATTGAAAGTGAATGTCATTGCCAGAGACACATGATCGGGGGTTCAAATCCGGGTCGCTCTGATATGTTCTTGTGAGTTTCACAAACGTGGACAAAGTCCAAGGCCTGCAGTACTTCGGGCGTCACTGTGACATCAAGCGGACACGCCGTGACTTAACTGTAATTCAGTTGAAAGCGACCTTAAACTGGACTCATTTGCACTCAACAACAACCAACAACCAACTAGTTTCTTTCTTTATGGTTAATCATTTCTGGGTTGTCACATTTCATAAGGCTCAACTGTTAAGCTACAAAATTACCAACTTGTTCAAAAAGTGGGTGAGGGTGAGTTTGGTTTAACGCCGCTTTTAACAGTATTCCAGTTATATCACGGCGTGTCAGCTTCATGTGGGAGGAAAGCGCGAAGTGATGCAGGTCTCAGACGTTTACCACTTCGGTGTAACCCACGAGCAGGGGTATGGTGCTGACAAACCTAGAAACATAATCGTGGCGAACCGGGATTTGAACTTACACTCATAGGTTTCTGGCGTGCTCAAGGGACGCAACTCTGCACAGCGAATCGCGGCGCATAAGACCACTAGGCCACCCGTGCCCCCTGTTCAAAAAGACCCCTTAACTTTGATCTTTAAACAGCCAACCCTTCAAACACTTCTTCGTTAAATGGTCCAGAAGACACCATGTGATGCATGAGTAACCCAGACGGTTTGGGACTTTATTGACATATTTTCATGATACATTTGCTGACTTTTGAATCTTCCGATGCTCAGTTTTGCCAAAACAATGTGACGAATTCATAATCATGTACATTTTCATAGATTTTATATTGTGTCGCGTTTGAATAATTCGTGTAGATTTTCTTCATTTCCCAACGTATCAGTTGAATAAACGTCATAAATCATATAGACAATCATCTTGTTTCTTATTGTTTCGTTGGCGAAGAAAAAACATATGAGGGGAGAAACATAATATTTTCAAGTTCTTTCTTCAATTAGACCACACAAAACTCCCAGGCGTATTGTTTTTAACTGCTATGGTACATCTGTTAGGCATTACAAATTAAATTAAATGTGATTAGAAGTTGACGGGTGACAAGGTGGACACAAATGTATGGATAACAACTTCTTTAATTCTGTAAAAAGCGACGTTTTCGGTATAGATCCTTATACCGTTGTCTAGCCAGGTATGCTGGCTTCACGGGCAACAGTGAGCACAAGTATTGATTCAGCACCTGATCATCCTGTTAAATTGTTTTCAGTCTTTTATCTGTGATACTTATTTGTTTTGTTATTTTCGCTTCATGTTCTTGGTATGATCAACAGCGATGTTGTTATTTACCATCTTAATTAATATATTGTTGTAAGAAAGCGACCGCTTCCGTGGTGTAGTGGTGGGGCTTCCGCACGGGGAGCGGAGAGTCCGGGTTCGATCCCCGGCCGCGTCATACCAAAAGATGGCACTTGTTGTTACCCTGCCTGGAGCTCGGTATTTGGGGCTAAAAAGAGACTGGTCTTCTCGTAGCCAGTATACTGTGTCTGAGTGGGGTTTTCACGCTAAACTGCGGCATGGTATCTCAGTGGGCAAACACTATAAAATCGGCATTAGTCTGGACTTATACACTCACATACACATGCACACACACGTGCAAGAACGTCGCGATATAAGTGCAATAATCTTGGACGCGACGTTAAACGTCATTTCACCTCACCACCTTTAAGAAAACGGTGGATATCGTCCTTGTATTGTCATTGGAGTTTGAACCATGTTTTAATAAGTTCAAAGTAACTGATATTTCGTTGGACCTTAGACTATATATTATAAACTTTTATTTCAATTTCAATTTAATGCAACAGAGTTTTTACCATTTGCTCATGTTATAGTCGGAATCGTACAATCGACTTTGCTTTCAGCAGTGATTTCTTATTGCTAGGGAAAGGGCTTTGTGCCTTATATTTATATATTTATTCCCCGCCCAATAAAGTTGGCGGGGGATATAGAAACGGGCTCCGTCCGTTCGTCACGTTTCGTTTCCGGAGCATAACTCAGAAACCGTTCAATATTTTTTCATGAAACTTTGCAGGTCTGTCAAGTACATGCTGAACTGGTGCCTTTTGCTATTTAGAAATTTTAGAAATTTTTATTTTTTACGTTTCCATGGCAACAAGATGGACTTAGGTTCCAAACTTTTCTTTTTTTACAATTTCCATGACAAGTTCCACCTCGGTTAAAAAAGGGTTAGGGTTTGTTTAGATTTAATTATGTCATAAATTCTGCAACAGGGGTGGGGGATATAGCCACGTTAGTGGCGAACCCTTGTTGTATCTCGAATTCACTGGGGGGCGGTCGGGTAGCCTAGTGGTTAAAGCGTTCGCTCGTCACGCCGAACGCCGTGATATTGCTGGAATATTGCTAAAAGCGGCGTAAAATCAAACTCACTCACTCACTCGAACTCACTGGACACATATTAAGATATGTCACCTGTGACCTAGATCATTTGTTCCATTACAGCATTAGAATCAGAATCGGGTACATCAACAGTTTAGTATTTGTTCAGTAAATACATGTACAATATTATGCAGTACAAAGGTTGTGTATAGACATCCATCATACATGTTGATGGTTACGCGCAAGCCGATAGCAATTCATACAAGACCCTTGAAACACAAAGGTTTTACAACGCATTTTCTTATAGCCGTTGTGACAATCAGACGAAGACAGTTAGTTGCACATGATAACAGAATGTCAGAATAACTAGCCTCTTTCCAGTCTGTGGTAAATGGACAACCTAGCCTTATAAATGCCATAAGTTCCAGCGTGAAGGACAGCAGCTGTACAGCTGGTAACGATAACCATTACGAACGGTATTGCAGGGTGGTTCCAGTCCAACATCTTCCCATACAACACATGCTTGTGATCGGCCATCCAATACAAAATACTGAAGAGGTAATACACCAGTCCGTACGATACAGGGAAACACGCATGAAGTAAACGCACTGGTATTGCAGAAACCATTTGATCCACAAGGATGACGACAGTATTCAAAACATGAACGAACAACTCCCTCGGAAGATACCGCTCCTCTGGTGTGGCGACGGAGGTGTACCACAAGGCTGTAACTATTGGACATATGGAGTTAAGGATGCTGTAAAGAATCCATAGGAATATCAGATGCAGTGGAAGATGGTCACCCCGTTGTTGGCTGGGAACTACTGGTTGAGTCTCTTCCAACGGGTCGCTCTCATGCAGTTCATAGAAGTGGCGAAAGTGTTGTTGACCTGATGGTTGTTGGAGGCATGTGTGGCACGTGCCGGACATATAGTGGAGCAGCAAGACGACGGTGTGGACGACATGGTACGTCATCAGAAGGGTATACGTCCAGTTTGTGACGAAGGCTGGCCATGGGATGCCTGACGAGTCATCTAATGTTAGAACGTTGTATATTAACGAGGACATCAGGTAAGCAGATAGCAGGATCTTGTAGATGATCATGGCAATTGGGGGCACTCGCCACTGGAACGAGGAAAATATAACTTTCATTGCTGAGACTGATAAATCACTTCAGCACAATAGGATGCCTGAGTGTGTTAAGTAAAGCATACTTTTGCGTTTAACGTGAGTGATGTGAAAATTGGTGAATACCTTATTTGATGGAATGGTGCATAACTCTACTGAATTGTGTGCGTTTGGTTAGGTGGATCTTTTTGTTAATTACTAGACATATAGCGTTGTTCTCTGTAGGATATATAGAGTTGTTCATTGTAGAATATATAGATTTGTTCATTGTAGGACATATAGATTTGTTCATTGTAGGATATATAGATTTGTTCATTGTAGGACATATAGATTTGTTCATTGTAGGATATATAGAGTTGTTCTCTGCAGGATATATAGAGTTGTTCTCTGTAGGATATATATAGAGTTGTTCATTGTAGGATATATAGAGTTGTTCTTTGCAGGATATATAGAGTTGTTCATTGCAGGATATATAGAGTTGTTCATTGTAGGACATATTGATTTGTTCATTGTAGGATATATAGATTTGTTCATTGCAGGATATATAGAGTTGTTCATTGTGGGATATATAGATTTGTTCATAGTAGGACATATAGATTAGTTCATTGTAGGATATATAGATTTGTTCATTGTAGGACATATAGATTTGTTCATTGTAGGATATATAGAGTTGTTCTCTGCAGGATATATTGAGTTGTTCTCTGTAGGATATATATAGAGTTGTTCATTGTAGGATATATAGAGTTGTTCTTTGCAGGATATATAGAGTTGTTCATTGCAGGATATATAGAGTTGTTCATTGTAGGACATATTGATTTGTTCATTGTAGGATATATAGATTTGTTCATTGCAGGATATATAGATTTGTTCATTGTAGGACATATAGATTTGTTCATTGTAGGATATATAGAGTTGTTCTCTGCAGGATATATAGAGTTGTTCTCTGTAGGATATGTATAGAGTTGTTCATTGTAGGATATATAGAGTTGTTCTTTGCAGGATATATAGAGTTGTTCATTGCAGGATATATAGAGTTGTTCATTGTAGGACATATTGATTTGTTCATTGTAGGATATATAGATTTGTTCATTGCAGGATATATAGAGTTGTTCATTGTGGGATATATAGATTTGTTCATTGTAGGACATATAGATTTGTTCATTGTAGGATATATAGATTTGTTCATTGTAGGACATATAGATTTGTTCATTGTAGGATATATAGAGTTGTTCTCTGCAGGATATATAGAGTTGTTCTCTGTAGGATATATATAGAGTTGTTCATTGTAGGATATATAGAGTTGTTCTTTGCAGGATATATAGAGTTGTTCATTGCAGGATATATAGAGTTGTTCATTGTAGGACATATTGATTTGTTCATTGTAGGATATATAGATTTGTTCATTGCAGGATATATAGAGTTGTTCATTGTGGGATATATAGATTTGTTCATAGTAGGATATATAGAGTTGTTCATTGTAGGATATATAGAGTTGTCCATTGCAGGATAGTTTGGTAAGTCAGTTGGATTGGTGGGTGCACTACGATGTCTATGCCTGAAACCAATACATTAAGGTGTTCGGCATATATTCACCTATCGGATTCCTTAATGTTTTTTAATAATATATTATGAATTAGAGCATTATTTGAGGGATAGATGATCCTGGCAACGTTACGTAGGTATATTTAAAAACATGTAACTTGCTTTACAGGTAAAGTTCTATGCTCACCTGCCACATGTAAAACCTATCCTGGGGAACTCCGCTGAAACCAAAGTTCTTCATCTGGAACTCTAACGCAAGGGTCTTCCGCCATGTCATGCTTCCGGTTTATCTGGGGGAAAACTCACGTTATAATTAAGTTGATCATTACACGGGCAACTTTGTGATACACGATTTCGATAAGATATTGAGTCACACATTTACAGTTGTATCTATCAGACTCCGAAGATGCATCTTTGAATTGACAGTGTACATCTAGGCGTATCCCATCTCATTGTAGAACAAATGTTTATTATTTCTTTACTGTGCTAGGATCAGGATAAACAATTGATATAAACATAATGTAACCCCGTTTAGTGATCTGATGTCACCCAAGTGACTTGTCACTGAAACTGAAGCATATTTACATTCATGTTGCAATATGTTGAATTATTAAATAACACTGAAGGGTCACATCAGGCTGTGAGGTGTTAGTCATGTTTGTTTGTTTGTTTGTTGTTTAACGCTGCACTCAGCAATATTCCAGCTACATGACGGCGGTCTGTTAATAATCGAGTCAGGACCAGACAATCCAGTGATTGACATCATGAGTATCGATCCACGCAATCCATGATCCACGTAATTGGGATACGACATGCATCAACCAAATCAGCGAGCCTGACCACCTTATCCCTTTGTCGCCTTTCACAACAAGCAGAGTCGCCTTGTACTGTAAGTCATGCTTTGACGACTATCTATTGTTATAGGTTACACACAACCAAATGTTTTCCCATAGACTTCTATAGTAACGTTATATCTTTTTTTAAAATAACTAGGCATTCAACAGCCATTACATTTACATATGTGCACAGTCTGGCCTTAAAGCTCCAATAAAAACACAAATTATGGCTAGGTTAGCCAGCTGCTTTTCCGAGTACAGGAAGCTGAACACACCAACCTCAGTTCCGCACCAAATGTCACCTACCTGAAAATATCTATGCTCACATAAAGCACAAGTCATCTTGTTAAAAAAGTCAGCACCAAATATTGAAAAATATGGGCAGTTTTAATTACTGGATGGATGGACATTTAAAAGACATAAAAATCTTACACAATATCATCCAATCACAGCCTGCAGATGTCTCTTGATCTGCACTGCACTACGACAACCGCACTATCACAACCAGTTCTGATTTAGTGTAGTAGAACCTGTAGGTAGGCGAGCAGATGTACATATTGCTTACAATTACTTTAGTGACCATAGTAGACCCAATTTATGGGTAACGACTTTATTTATTTTACGGAAAAAAACGTAAAACAAATAAGTTGTTGTCCATAAATTGTGTCTACTTTGTTATTCATCAATTTCTAAGCAATGCCTATCAAACAAGACTTAAGTTAAATATCAGTTGTTTCTGCTTTCTTCAGAACTTATGCGATCACCCTTCAACCCATGTACGACACGTATGTTAAACATGATTCCTCAACGAAGCAATGATAGCGAACTGGTACACAATAGAACAATGACAATATTCGAGGATGCTGTTGATCTGACACATGAAGCAACCAGGGTCTGCTGATCATGTTTCCAATTCCCTATTCGACATTATTCGATAATGACCCTTGGCCAGATAGCACAATACTTCCAGTTATATCACGGCGTGTCAGCTCGATGTGGGAGAAAAGTCCGAAGTGATGAAAGTCTCAGACGTTTACCACTTTGGTGACACCCACGAACACGGGTATGGTGCTTACGAACCTAGAAACATTATCGGGAAGATTAACTCAAATACGGGCTCGACACTGTACATGGAGTTGAAGCGCCTAACGTCGACTACAGATACGGGCAATGTGGTAAAAGATAATGTCAATAGTCATTGTGCCGCGGCAAGGGAGTTAACAGACTGCATGTCCAGTTTCCACCCTTGCTGATCAGGCTAGAATTTCAGACTCATATTTTGGCTGGACTGACGAGTCTATATAGTCCAATAAAAATCGCTTACCGAAATCGACATCCGGTTCATAAACAAGATGGCGACTGCCGTCCAAATCGGTCGATTGCAGGATTTGCAAAACATGTGTCATTTCATAGTTTGGGAAGCAAATGTTACGGTGGGCATTTTTTCGTTAACGAACTAATTGAGATTTTACGACATACATTCTCGTTTACGACACTCGATGGTATCATAAGCTAACATGCATTGATATGTAAATGCACTTGCAGTATTGGTAATACATTTATTACCCTCCCTCCATATATATATCACGGAAATGAAAAATTTCCAAAAAACGTTAACTATGTTCTCGGTCACATAAACAGTTTATATTAATTCTGCATGGGGGAATACATATGTGAATCAGTTAAAATGTGTACGCGTAATTCACATATGGCGAACAATTATAGACTTGGTTCTAATATACACGAGTAGTCAGGCGAGGACCAATTTCGCGCAGGAGCAATGATTGGACTATAGTTACCAAATTTAGATATTGATCTGATAACTAGAAAGTGAACATAATGCGCGATCTGCAGGTGTCCGTCTGTCACTCATCGTAAATATATGAAACTGTACACGATTGTAAGGTGTACTATTTCGTTCTCATTGCATATTTCATGGACATCTCTTACTAATTTTATAAAAGGCATCAAGGCGGACTTGTATACAGAAAATAAACTATTAAGGGATTTTTTTAACTATCAACATTAACATAACTTCAATGTAATTATTATATCAGCAACGGCGGATGCAGAAGGTGGGGTGGTATGTTTGTGTGTGTGTGTGTGTGTGTGTGTGTGTGTGTGTGTGTGTGTGTGTGTGCGTGCGTGTGTGTGTGCGTGTTTGCGTGTGTGTATGTGTGTGTGTGCGCGTGCGTGTGTGTGTAATTGTTCCAGTGTGCGAGTGTGTGTGCATGCGTTTTTGAGTGAGTGACAATATGTGCGTGTGTGTGTGTGTGTGTGTGTGTGTGTGTGTGCGTGCGTGCTATGAGTGCGCACTTTTCCTTTTTGTCAGCCCCCTCCAAAGCCCAATCCACCCACCCCAAGAAATACCTCGAGCCATCCCTCAACACGGGTTAATTATGATGGAACTATTTAGGTAACACCTCCACTAAAATAGTGAATATTTTAGGGACGCCGGGATGTTGACTAGTTGACTAGCTCACTGCGCGTACCATCAGCAGAACCAGTTAAGAGCAATTGCCCTGTCGTAAACCATAACGAATGTCGTAAACCATGGTCTTTCTCATTTTTCGAAAGACGAGAGTAAACAAACGCCTCCGTCATCTTAGATTTCCAAACAATGAAATATAAAGTGGAACTTTCGAGCTTTGAAGGTTTCTCTCCCTTAAAACATGAAATGAGAAGTGTTACCCGAACCATGTGACGACATCCATCGTGGAAACCCACGTGGACGGGTATAGTGCTGACAAACCTAAAAGCATGATCAGGGCCAACCGGCATTAGAACCATGGATCATAGGTTTCTGGTCCAAGGGGCGCAACAATGAATAGCAAATTGCAGCGCCTTAGACGACTGGGCTACCTGTGTTGTCTTTGTTTTAATCTATCATCCCTATAATCGGTACCAAGGTCCCATTTTGAGCCCGATTCTCATGGCCGACTAACCATAATCGCATCAAAGAGAAACATTCTGCGCTGAGAGAGACACACATGTGGGACCGATGGAGGTGGTAAAGTCACTTCTGGAACGAGGATACGGTGGCGAATGGATCTAGGGTATTTATCATTATAGTGAGTGAGTGAGTGAGTGAGTGAGTGAGTGAGTTGGGTTATATCACGGTGTGTCAGCTTAATGTGGGAGGAAAGCCCGAAGTGATGCAGGTCTCAGACGTTTACCACTTCGGTGAAACCCACGAGCACGGGTATGGTGCTGACAAACCTAGAAACATAATCGGGGCGAACCGGGATTCGAACCCACAATGGATGGTTTCTCGCGTGCCCAAGGGACGCAACTCTGCACATCGAATCGCGGCGCCTTAGACGACTGGGCCACCCGTTCCCCCATGTATCATTATAAAATCGAGTAGTATAAAATCACCAGTACCAGTCCCAGATAAAAGGCGACTATGCTTGTCGTAAAAAGCGACTAGCGGCATCGGGTGGTCAGGCTTGCTGACTTGGTTGATGCATGTCATCGATCCCAATTGCGTGGATCGATGCTCATGATGTCAATCACTTGATTGTCTAGTCCAGACTCGAATATTTACAGACCATCGTCATATAGCTTGAATATTGCTGAGTGCGGCATTAAACAACAAACAAACAAACAAACAATCTCACGAAGAGAAAACGGATAGAGCTCAGCACACATCGTCCGCGTCACTGTCTTTTTCGATTCAAAGTGTAATGCACACACTGTTAATATTACTAGTAATAGAGGAGTGGTCGGGTAGTCTAGTGGTTAAAGCGTTCGCTCGTCACGCCCAGGTTCGATTCCTAACATTGGTACATTGCATGAAGCCCATTTTCTCGTGTCCCTCGTTGTGATGTTGCAGGGATATTGCTAAAAGCGTCTCAATATCATTCTTGCTCAGCCACCAGTAAAACTGGCTGTTTTCTTCTGGCGATTTGGGGCGGTCGGGTAGCCTACTGGTTACAGCGTTCGCTCGTCACGCCGACGACCCGGGTTCGATTCCCGACATGGGTACAATGTATGAAGCCCATTTCTGGTGACCAACGCCGTGATGTTGCAGGGATATTGCCCATAGCGTCTTAATATCATTCTCGCTCAGCCACCACTAATACTGACTGTTTTCTTCTAGCGATTTGGGGCGGTCGGATAGCCTGGTGGTTAAAGCGTGCGCTCGTCACGCCGAACACCCGGGTTCGATTCCCGACATGGGTACAATGTATGAAGCCCATTTCTGGTGACCAACGCCGTGATGTTGCAGGGATATTGCCCATAGCGTCTTAATATCATTCTCGCTCAGCCACCACTAATACTGACTGTTTTCTTCTAGCGATTTGGGGCGGTCGGATAGCCTAGTGGTTAAAGCGTGCGCTCGTCACGCCGAACACCCGGGTTCGATTCCCGACAATGTGTGAAGCCCATTCCTGGTGTACCCCGCCGTGATATTGCTGAGTGAATTTAACGCCGCTTTCAGCAATATGCCAGCAGTATGACGGCGGCGGGCAGCAGAAATTGGCTTCGCCCATGTAGGGAATCGAAAAATGGCGTGACGAAATCACTATCAATGTGGTTGTTCGAAAATAGGGTGTTACATGTATACATAATGTATATATGATAAATAATTTGTTTTTGTAAGATCTAATCTGGACCAGACAATGATTGACATCATGAGCATCGATCTACCAACAGGGATAAGATGACTTGCATCAACTAAATCAGCGAGCTTTTCCGCCGTGTTCGGTGTTAAACAACAATGAACAAATAAACAAACTCTTACGCATATGTTTAACATCTCTGGTTATGCCACCAGACATAAGCTAATATTTCGGAATGGAGGTCCTCTTCGCAGTTATGAAAAGTGGTTTTTGAATGGTCAACAGATAGAAGCTGTCAACATGTACAGATATTTAGGAATTATTTTCTCACCAAAGTTATCTTTGACCAAGGCCCAAGCATGTCTAGCAGCCCAGGCAAGGAAAGTACTTCTATCAATATATAATTATCAAAAACAATTTGGATACATTAATCACCATGATCTTTTTGATATTTTTGATGCTATGATTTCAACAATCCTATGTTATGGATCAGAGATCTGGGGAACCAGCTACTGTAACATTATTGAGAGTGTCCATAACAGATTCTGCAAATCCTTTTTGAAAGTAAATAAGTTCACCAACAACAACATGGTTCTAGGAGACTGTGGTAGGATCCCCCTACAGTATAACTACATGTCAAGAGCAGTCAAGTACTGGTGCAGACTAGTTCAGATGGAACAACACAGGCTACCCATCCAAGCTTATTATATACTTAAATCTCTTGATGATAATGGTAAAATTACACGGGCATGACATATTAGAATGATTTTATTCCAGTTTGGATTTGGTTTTGTTTGGCTAAGCCAAGACACAAACGAAGATTTTACGACTGCCTCACTCAAAATTGGCACTTTTCCCTGACATCATCAACGAAATGCAATAACTACTCACAGTTCAAGTTATTACTAAATGTGGAATCATATATTACTTGTGATATGAACGTGTCTGCACTTTCTGTTTTTCAAAGGGACATAACCATGTTGAAGATTAATTCCATGTTCTTGTGATTTGTGACCAGTATTCTAGAGCAAGAAGAAACTCTTTTCCCAAGCGTCTCGTTACCCCTCCCTCTATTGAGAATTTTATAAGACTTATGTCAGCTGAAAACGAACAAATTATAAAAGGCTTAGGTAAATTTCTCTCCCAAGTCATGAACATCGAGAGGAAACACAGTTTGGAACAGTAAATCATTATTAAATCTACTCAGCATGCAAATATATATACAGTATATTTCCATTGTATTATGGGCCGGTGGCCTGAAATACCGAATAAATCTGTCTGTCTGTCTGTGTGACATAAGCTAATCTCTAAAGAAGATTTAATCCGCAAGCTCACTGTTTAGCGTTGCGAAAAATGCAAAAGCCAGAAAGATGTGTGATTGTATGTTTCAAACTCGTGAAAAGCATTCAGTGCGAGTGAGTATTGTTTTGCGTAGCATTTGGCTACTTTTCAAGCAATATCACAGTGGGGAGTAATACAAGTGGACGTCACACTTATATCCATATGGGAAATCAAAATATATAGAGCTGAATAATGAAAAGACACTGAGATCCATTGAGCAGCGTCACAGAAGCGTTGAGCTCTGAGATTTTACCCGTGCACATCCAAAGGTAAACAATGGCTCCTGGAAAAAATTGTAACATTTAGTACTGATCACGATCGCATACACTTCTTTCATTCAAGTACATGTACATTTCAGATAAGTACATGTACATTTCATTCCTCATATTTAATGTCCAGTCGCACTCACCTCAAAGAGTCCCTGTTGATCGAGAGTTGAAATTTGCAACACCGTCCTCTTGTACCTTTTCTTCAACAATGTTAAACAACACGCACGACTGACTCGCTCAATTTTCTATCTAGTGTGTTTATTGACTGCACTCCGACAACCACATGTGGTAACAGATGGTATTGAAGCCCTCATGCCCGCTCGATGAGCATTGCGCACTTTTACGTCCCTGAACATTGTTTACTAACATTGCTTCCAACAATTGTGCTATTACATGACTCATTAATTGGCAGGTGTATTTAATGAACACGTATCACTATTATTGTGCGTGGGATATGTTCGCTGCTGGCCGCCACGGCCGACTCAATACGTGTTCACCAACTGATTTTCACAGATTCAGCTGAAGTCATGTGTGAACATGGCGGAGAAGTGCACTGGTCACAGCATACAGTGAAGCGTCGCTGAATTGAAGTATGTTACGTAATGCATGAATGTGTTACTTGATGAATGTCTGAGTATGTTACGTGATGAATGTTTGATTGTGTACGCGATGAATGTCTGAGTGTTACGTGATGAATGTCTGAGTATGTTACGTGACGAATGTCTGAGTGTTACGCGATGAATGTTTGAGTGTGTTACGTGATGAATGTCTGAGTGTGTTACGTGATGAATGTCTGAGTATGTTACGTGACGAATGTCTGAGTGTGTTACGTGATGAATGTCTGAGTGCGTTACGTGGTGAATGTCTGATTGTGTACGCGATGAATGTTTGAGTGTGTTACGTGGTGGATGTCTGAGTATGTTACGTGACGAATGTCTAAGTATGTTACGCGATGAATGTTTGAGTGTGTTACGTGATGAATGTCTGAGTATGTTACGTGGTGGATGTCTGATTGTGTACGCGATGAATGTTTGAGTGTGTTACGTGGTGGATGTCTGATTGTGTACGCGATGAATGTTTGAGTGTGTTACGTGATGAATGTCTGATTGTGTACGCGATGAATGTTTGAGTGTGTTACGCGATGAATGTCTGAGTATGTGACGTGGTGGATGTCTGATTGTGTGCGCGATGAATGTCTGAGTGTATTACGTGATGAATGTCTGAGTGTGTTACGTGATGAATGTCTGAGTATGTTACGTGATGAATGTCTGAGTGTATTACGTGATGAATGTCTGAGTATGTTACGTGATGAATGTCTGAGTGTGTTACGTGATGGATGTCTGAGAGTGTTACGTGATGAATGTCTGATTGTGTTACGTGACGAATGTCTGAGTGTGTTACATGATGAATGTCTGAGTGTGTAACGTGACGAATGTCTGAGTGTGTTATGTGACGAATGTCTGAGTGTGTTACGTGATGAATGTCTGATTGTGTACGCGATGAATGTTTGAGTGTGTTACGTGATGAATGTCTGAGTGTGTTACGTAACGAATGTCTGAGTGTGTTACGTGATGAATGTCTGAGTGTGTTACGTTATGAATGTCTGACGGTGGAGTCTACTATCGCCTACAGTGCACTTTGCCTACATTGTGATACTAGCATGTGATGAACGTCTTAGTGTTTTACGTGACGTATGTCTGAATGTGTCTTGTGACGAATGTCTGAGCGTGTTACGTACGTGATGTATGTCTGCCCCTAACATTCAGCAAGTATGTTCAAGGGATGTTCACAATGATGTACCCACCTGCCACATACAAAAGCCATCCCAGGATACTTCTCTCTACGCAATGAAATCGAACTCGAACATAGGGTTCTCCAAAAAGCGTCATCGTGTTATTGTTTCCCACTAATCCCTCGGAGCACCATGCACTCATAATATCTACATCATCTATTCGTTATTCAAAACGTCAACGACAGAAAGATCAGTCTCGACTATCTGCCGAGATTCCATCGGACGTCAGAAGCACACAATTAAGGCCTTATATATATGAAATATATATATCATCGGAAGTCAGTGACGACACCAGAGGTTTGAGGAAAGTATCGGCAGGTAACTGCTCGAGAGAAGCAAGGCACCTCACACAGTGTCTTGCCATTGAGTAAGGAGTTGTGATTTGTTTTGTTTATTATTTTTTTGTGTAACGCCAAAATAAAAATACAACATTCAGATTTTACATACATGTACATGCTATCTATGAGGAGGTCCAGCATTTCACATATTGTTTTATCAGTAAACTTCAGATGACATCTGCTGATAATTTTTGAAACACTGTTCTGAACTTCTTAAGATAGATATGTAGCTTTATCATATAATGGGTAGGTTTCTCGGCAGGATAAAGCCAACGGATAAAACGATATCCGTTGGGGTCATATGCGGATAGAGATGCAAATATCAAAGGTCAAATAGGGACTACTTTTTGTGTTTATAAACAAACATGGCGTCGCCCTGGTCATTCGGCAATCGAGTCAGAATTAACCATCGAGAATCTGGATAAACTACAGAGATAATTGCTATCATAAGCAAAAGAACTGTCTAATATACTTAAAATCAGTGTCTAAATGTGTCGTCGCTAAGGCATTTCATAAGTTTTGGCAACTTTCGAGATATAAATTTCGAAACAATTTTGCGAGGGCACTAGCCCTAGCCAAGCGGGATCAGTAGCCATATCTGTGCTTGTAGATCTCTGCGGCTTGAAACCTTTTCCACAAATTAAAATAGTTGGATTTGGCCGAAATTTATTTGAATTGTTACCTTGTTTCGTTTTGTCGCTGTGTGTACATCTGACTACACTTCTTAACGTTATGACAGGACAGACCGACTGTCAACAACGTCTGACCGTGGCCGTGACGTCTCATAGACTAGGGTTAGAGTAGCTTCCCTTTGACAAAGGGCAGTTACTCTAGTGGACAGACCGATGGATTGCCGCGAAAGGTAATTAAAAACAATTGTTGTTTTGCGTATATGTTGCTTCGCCACTGCATAAGAAATAGATTTCAGTTGGAACTATATTTGCTACTGTCACTGTCCGACTGACACATCACTTACCCTCTGACGTAATAAATATTAATGCGCGCATTCCAGGAAAACTCGCAATGTTTCGGTAATGATTGTGAGAGAGGGAAAGCGATTTTGAAGCACAGAATTAAAGAATGACATTATATGATAAAGAGGTTATCACGCTTGTGTCTTTGGGGATGGTAAATATCCTGTATTAGGAATAAACACTATGTATTTAGCTCGCCAAGGCTCGCTAAATACATGTTTATTCCTAATCCAGGATATTTACCATCCCCAAACACACTCGCGTGATAACCTCTATATATCTATGCTCACCACGTTAAGTGACAAATGTAGCATGGATCAAGGATTGTAGAGTTTGTCGTGTGGGATAGTGTTGTACAAAGTTGAAAAATCAAATGTGTTGACATAATTGAACGTGTTTCTTCTCTGCGACTGCCAAGTTTCAAGCAAATCTTTTGGATTTTTTAGAAATGCTTTCTGTGAATTGGTAGAAAGCACTGCCTTGATCATCGCATTGAGGATTATGGTTCAGCCTAGAGACAGGGATTTGATGGTGCTCTTATTTGATGGACGCAGCAAAATGTCTCTCTTTTTACGGATTTGTCTGGATCCTTGGAATCCAGTACAAAAGATGAATGGACATGTCTTAGGTTTAAGAGTCAAGTCAAAAGTTGATAGTATTGATGCATGTTTTGGCAGATTTCTTCCTCGGTTGGGACCGATATATGACAGGTATTTTTTTTATGTTGGATCGATTCTGCTTAGATATCTAATGAATAAGGAAAATGTGTTGTCGCTTCTATTTAGTATCATACATATATATATAGTAATAAATAGAAGTGACAACACCTTTTCCTTATTCATAAGAAATCTTAGCAGAGTCGATCCAACAGAAAAACAATACCTAAGGAGAAAACAATATATATATATATATATATATATATATATATATATATATATATATATATATTAGTGAGGACACGCTCACAACTCCTGGTGTCATATATATAAATTATATGTATATATACACCAAGAGTTGTGAGCGTTTCCACACTCATACAGCCGTCACACACACATGCACATGTAAGACAATTGTTAACCTGAAAAACCACAGGAACATACAGGATAATTCTCATATATCATATCTCATTTTTATCAACATGTACGTATGTATTGATCGTAATGAAACAAGGCACACAAACACATCTAGATATTTGATTCTGACATGTGTTGAATTTGTATGCGCGCTATTCAATGTACTGCAAGTAAAGCTAATTTACCTATAGTTTCCATTGTTCCCTTATTCGTCTCTCTCAGTATTTATAGGGGAGGAATAACATGTCCAGTTTCAAATGGCAATTACATGTTTCAGATAGCTGGTACAGAGCTACATTATATTCATGAAAACTACAATACAAAACTGATCAATGTTCCGCTATATCAAATCAGGCAGATGACAAGAACATTTGTTCTGTGAGACATTTTTGTCACAATTTTTCATCAGCAGAGGTGATTAATCAATATAATTTCAGAAAACGTTCCATCCCACAGTGAGATATGTACGTTGCACAATGATGCTCCTGACACTCGCCACCTTCTTTGTTCGTTGCTCCCAGAACGTCAAGATCGCCAGAGTGAGTGAGTGAGAATGGTTTTACGCCGCTTTTAGCAATATTCCAGCAATATCACGGCTTCACACATTGTACCCGTGTCGGGAATCGAACCCGGGTCTTCGGCGTGACGAGCGAACGCTGTAACCAGTAGGCTTCCCGACCGCCCCAAATCGCCAGAAGAAAACAGTCAGTTTTACTGGTGGCTGAGGGAGAATGATATTGAGACGCTTTTAGCAATATCCCTGCGATAACACAACGAGGGACACGAGAAAATGGGCATCATACAATGTAGCAATGTGGGGAATCGAACCTGGGCGTGACGAGCGAACGCTTTAACCACTAGACTACCCGACAACTCCTCTATCACTAGCAATATCAACAGTGTTTGCTGGTAATATAACTTGTTAAAACATTACACTATGTATCGAAAAAGACAGTGACGCGGACGATGTGTACAGACCTATATCCGTATTCTGTTCGTGAGATTGTTTGTTTATTTGTTTGTTTGTTGTTTAACGCCGCACTCAGCAATATTCCAGCTATATGACGACGGTCTGTAAATAATCCAGTGATTGACATCAT